ATGGGCACTGGTGATAAAGGATTCAAAACTGGTTCATCATCATCATCATCATCATAATTTTCTGACGATAGCTCCTGAAACTTCTTGGAAGCCAACTCAAGTATCAAACTTGTCCGATTTCGGAAACTCATTTTCTGGAATAAAATAAGTTTTTTGATTTCCCACATTTCCAATAGATCATAATTAATAAGTCAGGTACCAAAATTTCACTGATAAAAAAAAAACTATGAACTATTATGAAAATAAAAATTAGTACTTACCTAAGAAATCTATATATTTTTTTCACATTAACAAATAATAGACAGCAAAGAACACTGAAAACAGACAATTGAACTACAATAATAATGAGCCATTCACACCTCAAATGCATCTAATTTACCGAAAAATGAAAAGCGAGTCTAATCCTGCAAGAAAGTGACATCGCAATTCGTCAATACCAAAGAAAAACGCGGCATTATTCACATACTTTAGATAAACGCGGTAAGTTCGCAAGCAGCCAGTATTTTTACCGCCTTTATTATTGGTAGAGCCTAGATACCGCATTCATATTTGGCACAAATTGGTAATAGGAACATACGGCAGGTTTTTTGTGTATAGTTTTAAATAGTTCTAGTTAAGATACGGCGTTCATATGTGGCAGACAGCTAAGTTAAAGCAAAAGAAAATTTTTGGCAACAAAAACTCGATATCCGAAATTGTTAAACATACGGCGTTTATTCTTAGGAGGGCAGAATAGGTATCCAGATTTTAGGAGTTTTTATGGGCTGTTGCGTCCAATTTTAATAATTGTTCAGAGACGCAATTTACATTTTCACCAAGTAAAACAGAATGAAATTTTGATATTTTTTTCTTAAATGAAGTTCGAGTTTCTAATTAAAAATTATAACGTACTTTACGAGAGGAAATTTGAGCCAATTAATTGAATCTGCAGTTTGAAAAGAGGGCGCAGAAAATATTGACCAAATCAATGCCAAAAATTAAATTCAATTCGGAAAGAAAATTATGATTTTTGATTTTTTTATTTATCTACCATTTTTGGAGTTTTCAATTTCTTGGTTCAATAAATTCGTTCCAATTTCCTTTATCGAATCCATAAAATATATAACTTGAACAAACACTAAAATATTCGTGTCTATTGCTTATGTCGCTCTTGTAAATTGAACAGTCGGGTCAAGACTTTGCCAGCAGCCTCACGCGTCAGGGCTTCGGAAAATCAGGATTTGCTTCGCGTGCTTATTAACTGACTAAACAAGCAGTCTCGCGAGAAGTTTACGCTCTAAAAACTCTATACCTTGCAGGGTATACCAGTGACGCAAATTCTTTAGCCAAGACATTCTTGGACGCCCAGGGCCTCATCTGCCTTCGATTTTTCCCTCGATTATGAGCTTGAGAATTAGGTATTTTTCATTCCTGAGTATGTGTCCGGAGTACTCTAAGTTTCGCTTTTTAAGTGAACTTCCAAGATTTTTTGACATTCTAGTTAGCACATCTTCATTGCGTACTCTGTCCGTCCCAGATATTTTTAACGTTCGTCTATATGTCCAAATTTCAAAGTCCTCTAACTTTTTACACATGGCGTCAGCAGAGTCTACGCCTCAATCCCATAATAGAGAATACTGAAGACATAGCAACGTAGTGCGAGTGCGAACGGAGAGCGAGAGACCTCGACTACAAATCACAGACTTCATTTTTACAAATGATGCTCTGATTTGTTTAATCCTGGCATGAACCTCCTGCATCTCATCCCAGTCTTCATTAACCTGACATCCTAGGTATCAAATAAAGAATGAAGGCTGTTTGAAAGCTAGTATTTTCCGGGCTATAATGCCGTAGTCTAGTAACGTTTCGTCTACTGCTGCGGTAGACATCGCGGCGGTGTGGTAGAGGACGAGGTGTTCTCTTCCGTGTTCCTCCGATGACTGGATTCGACGTTGTTGGACCTGCGTTATTTATATCCAGGGTTGTGGGCGTGGCTTGTATTACGCTATTTTCCTTGTCTCGTTCTCGGAAAGGAAGGGTCTTTGTTTTTAGGAGAACTGGCAACCAGCTTTTGTTGAGGTTCATGCCCTCTTCTTTTCTGTTGAAGTTGTTGTAGTGTTTCTGTATTTCTATGGCTTCTCTGTGGAGTCTGGTGTAGAAATGTTTGGTTCTATCCAATGCTTGAGTCTGGTCGAAACAAATGACATGGTTTGTTTGTGTTAACACGTGTTCGGAATTGCTGATCTATCTATTTGTCCCTGCTGATAGTTTCTTTTGTGCTCTTTGACCCTGGTGTTGACAGAGCTTTTCATTGTTCCTACATAGACAGATCCACAAGAGCATGGAATTCTATAGACGCCAGCGGTTTCAAGAGGTGCCCTAGAATCCTTGGCCGATCTTACACTTTGTTGAATTGTTACTGTGGGCTTGTAGATGGGCTTAATGTTGTGTCTTTCTAGCATTCGTCCTAGGCGATCTGTGACATTTTTGATGTAGAGAAGTAAGGCTCTCCCTGTCACCTGTGCTGGTTCCTTGGTATTTGTGTGCTGTTGCTTCGGTCTTATAGCTCTAAATATCTCCTGCTTGGAGTACCCATTTCCTTTAGGTGCTGATTTTAGGTGTTGCATCTCGTCCTGAAGGAATCTGGGTTCACAAATCCAGATTGCTGTGTCATATAGAGTTTTAATGACTCCTCCCTTTTGCCCAGGATAGTAATTGGATTCCTTGTTTAGGTATCTGTCCGTATGCGTCGGCTTCCTATATATTTTGTGTTCCAGATTACCTGAGGGTTATCTTCCTAAGAGGGCTTCGAGGAATGCAATTTTGTTGTCTTTCTCAACTTCCATCGTAAACTGTATCCTGGGTTTTATTGAGTTTAGATGATTAAGGAAGTTTTCGAGTTCTGCCTGTCCATGGTTCCAAACAACAAATGTGTCATTTTCAGTGCCATTTGTTCGAAGTGTTCCATTTAGGAGTTGGCGATAACCCTTATCGTCCGCATACCAAAGATTGTTAATGTTCACGCCGTTGATAGAAATTCCCTCAGTGCAGTCTTCTTATGCTTTTTCAAATATTTTGTTCAAGTAAATATTAAAAAGTAATGGTGAAAGTACACCGAACACCTTCCTCTTTTTATCCGTACTTCGTCAGACATTTGTTGGTTCACCTGGATTTGTGCAGTCTGATTCCAATAGAGATTTGAGAATTGAGAATTTTCATACGCTTCTCATGTTGTACCCTGTCAAACGCTTTCTCATAATCTACGAAGCATGCGTATACAGGAACAGAAACATCGCTACATCTGATCTCTCGTCCCGGAACAGGTTTTTGATTTAGCTGCACCACTGTTTTACTTTGTGGTTGACATCAAGAATTATCTTGTCTTGACTGTCCAACAGAATGCCGGTCTGTCCAGGTTTGTATAGACCAACAGCTTCTTTGATTTTCTTATGCATATTAAAATTGTCATATTTTGCTTTGAGGTCTTCGATTTCCTTACACCATTCGTTTAGCCAATTTTCTTCAGCTACCCTGACTCTGTTTTTTATTTCACGATTCAACTGGCGATACGCTGGCTGGTTTTTTTGGAGGTGACTTTCTTCCATCAAGTCGATTATTCCATCTGTCATCCAAGCTTTTTTCCTGACCCTAGTGTTACTTGATGATAATATCGACCTGACGCTAACAAATGCGTCCCTGATACCGGTCCACTTCTTAATTCTTTGTCCTGTTAAGTTGATTATCTAATTCGTTTCTAACTTTCAATTGGAAAGCGGTTTTTCAGGAAAGTGACCCAGTACATATCTCCCATCTTTTCCAATAGATAAACATGTCGCTTGAGGACAGCAAAATATAGCTGATTGAACTCAAGATTACATAAAGACCTTGAAAAATTTCCAATGTGTCCAAGGAAATCTTAAATTACACTTGTATTTTTTAAACTCTATGAATACTTTAAAGTTATGTAAGAATAGGTATAAAATCAATACAAACTAAGCTATTTCTTAGTGAATTATCCCATATTCAGCACAAAGAACAAAAAAAACTTCAAAGTAGAAACAGTAAAATCGTGTCGTTACAAATCTGGAATATGGAAATGTTGCATAATTTTTTACCCGTTAGTATTTCCAAAGGGAAACATTTATTTCCGCCCTCATTGCGCCATAACTCTCGCGATGTTATGCCTTTTTAAAAAGTTCAAAGGAAATTCTTATGTATTCCCTTGGAAAGGAAGTGAAAAGAAATTTAATTAACATCATTAAGCATGAACATTTCGTTGAAGATGCCGTATATTTTAAAACTTTATCTGTGAAGGATCTGGGAAAAAAAGGGACATTTTTTCATGTTTTTGTTGTTTTTTCACACACCACACCGTTAAAATGATTTAAATTTATTCTCATGAAAAAAGGGGTGATATTACCCACAATATTTGCATCGATTTTAATTAGTGGTGACATTTGTTTTAGTTGGGCCAAAACAAATTAATTTCTTTCACAGAAACAGCTGTGTATGCCAGACAAGCATGATAAAATATGCTTGTTATATAATTAGGAAAAAATATCTTAATTATGAGATTTCAAATGTGAAAGGACACAAAATAGGAAGATTATACTCGAATGTTTTATAGACGATTGACAATATTCCAATGATATTTTTTACGAGTTATTTCCCACACCTAAACATAGAAATGGACTTTTCCTGAGCAATTTCAAAGTTTGTCCACCAAAGAAATGATTGAGTTTGTACGAAGTTCTATAACTTTTCGTTAGAGGCAAAATACAAAAACTTCATAATGTGGTTTTTTTTTTAGGTAAAAACATTGAAACATTTTCTTTATTATTTATTTATATGTATATCATGTCAATAACAATTATGCGTTTTGCATAGCATTATTCACTGTCTTATATTATGCTTTGTAAAATACACAATTTCTTAATTGAAATACGGATCATTCAAATACAACACAAATAGCAGAATGCTCTCAACTAAATTAGCCTAAATAAACCTACGTTTTGTTTCAGTTTCGGATTTCACTCAGCAGCTGGGCCAAATGTACGAACAGCACGCCGAGGAATTGCAAATGCTGGTGGCGAACTTTCGGAAACGGAACACCGAACTTCGAAAGGAAAGGTACGACTTGTTGAAATGTCAAACTAACAAAAAAAATATTGCAAATTGACTGTAGTTACTTAACTTTAAACTATTGACTTCATTCCCTCTCAGTTAAAAAGATGTTGGCTTGTGGAACTCTATTCTTTCTTTTATTTTTTCTCAGTAGCAACATTTTGTGCTCAAAATCAGGAATTAAACTTTAAGTAACTTTATTCGTCTTCATTTCGCCGATTGACCGTAGTTACTTAATCTCTTCTCCACCCAAGTAGAAGTGGATTATCGGCGGACAAATTTTGTTCGACAAGTTGCTTGAGAAAGCGCAGGGGACGGATTTCACGTTTATTTTATGTGAATATCCGTATAAACCGTAGACGAAGGATTATTTGATCCAAAATTTCCAATGATTTTTGCAACGGGGTTTTGTTGCATATCTGTATATAGGATTGTCGTTATGTATAGAAAGGGCCTAATATTTCAGAAAGCCCTCAAAAAAAATTTACAATATTTTTAACATGTTAAATGTTACTGTTTTTTTTTTTATAAATTAGATTATCTCCTTGGATGCGGACAGTCTGGTGACTGCCATTAATAAAAGTAGATTTCTGTTGAAAATAATACTAACAATTATTAACCTAGAGGGCACGCTTTTCGTTTAAATTTGAAGTACCATTTTGGCACCAACACTCTCCGTTGGCTATTTTTTGAAGGGAAGCTCTGCTTGTTCAGCTTGTCCTTTTCTTCGTCCCTTCAAATTTTACCGTTCGCCCTGAAAGGTTGAGCCTGGCCTGGGGGCAGCCATTTTCCTCAACTGTGATTACCGTTCTCGTGAAGAAACGTACCTTATCGGCCATCAGGCACTAGTTTGGCGAAATAAAGTTGCGCAAGGCAAAGTTCCGTTGATTACCGGAAAAATGTAACTATGAGAAAAGAGAAAGTCTTGTGATTACCAATTTATTCGAGTTTGAATTTTGAACCTCCTCGTGGTAAGTCCTTTTTCATTTTTTTTTTTAAGTAATGGTTGTTTATGGAATGCCTCAATTACTTAAGGTTTTCCGAGTAGCCGTTTCTTTCAAGGAAACCGTTTCCAAAAAGCTCACATTTCTAACGATCACCAATCACCAAAATTGATCAATTTTTCACTTGGGTTCTATAACTTATATACTTGAGGACTTCGGTTATATCTCCTTTATACCTTCAACCTTTAACCTTTGATTTCATACAGTTTCAATTAATTTTAGTGATTTTAATTTTCTGGCAGTAGCTGACCATATTTATCCATATAATATTATAATTTTCAATCATTCATTCTTTTTCTTAATTAATTTTCTGAAAACTTGAATCCTTCATATTTTTATTTCAAGTTAATCATATGACCAGCGACTGTTAAGTTAAATCATGTGACAACTATACTAGTGTATATCCCGCGTGTGGCTAAATTCAGCTGATGTAGGCACCGTAGTAAAATGGTAGAAAAAGCAGTGTTGTTAAATTAAACAGGGTTTGGTAAGCTGTGTCTTAGGCGTTTTGGCATTGGCATTAGTGAATTTCAATCACCGCGTCCGTGGCGGTGTACCATTTTGGTGAATTTAGCCACACGCGGATTGTGATATTATTTTTTTTTGTTCGGTGGATTCAATTGAGGGTAAAATCTCTATCCATTGATTGATTATTTACTGCCCAACTGTTTTTTTTTTTAAATTCTCCGAACTGTGAATTAAATTTGGAAATATACACTAATTTAATTTGAAAATTATTTGATTGTTTTATTGGTATACCTATGTCAAGATTTGGTTGAGTTGTATGCCTTATTTATTTCCTTCTCAGAATTATCAATTAGCGTTTGCATATTACTTTTTTTTAGGTGTATTTCTGAATTTTCACGCTTCAATATTTTATGTAATTCAATTATTGATTTTTACAAATTCAGTGGCGCCCTTGCCATTCTGTACTTATTAAACTATTGACCCGCCCCTAATAATTATTCGCTTAGCAAACTGAGCATATTATGGGCCTCCTGTTAATTTGTTAACAAAAGGACAGCGGTCTCATATTTCAAAACAAGCTTTAGAAAAATGTACAATATTTTCTACCTGGGCCTACCGGCCCCCTTTTAAATTTTAAATACGTATTATCCTCGGCATTTATCACATTTTTCTTCTGAAGCCTGTTCTGAAAGACGAGTGAGCACCGCTCCAGTACTGGCAAGTTACTCCAAGGCGATACTCCTCAACATAACAGACGTTCCGCACAATAACGGACCAGTACAACTCGATGAAGAACCAATCTTCAAAATTTCTGACAGCTTGAATACAATGAGACTGAATGAAGAAAATATAATAAGGTTCAAGTTGAAATGTACAATATAAATAGGAACCAATTTGATTAATAAAACCAGTATTGAACAATATTAGTTGGGTACTCATTTAATTACACAAATTAGTTATTTGTGATAATTATCCACAAAGTCCGTTTCAAAAGCTTTGTACTCGTTATCTTGGTTAAAGGTAACTAGTGATCTTCAGGGAATTATTCCTGAACGTCACGCCCAGAGATACGGATCTTGGAGGCCTTGCAACCCTCCAGTGAACTAGAACAAACTGAACAAAGGTCCCAACTCTGTTCACCAAACATTTCAACAAAAAACTGTGTTGCCATATTTCAAAAACCAAGTCGATTGAAGGTTTGCCATTTAGAGGTCTTAGTAATGTTGGGACGCTGAATTATTTACAATCAAAATAAAGAGGAACTTCCCTCTTCATTCGAAAAAATCAAATTACATACGGCATCTTAGAAATGGTTAACTTGGCAATATTGCAGATACCACCATTGGATCGGGCATTCTCAAAAACCCCCAGGTAGGTAAATTGTAAATTTTTTTGAAGCCGTTCTGAAATAATGGGCCGTTTCCATACATAACGACAACCCTGTATATAAACGAATTGAAGCTAACGTCTATAATAGCTCAAACGTAATGAAATCGCTATACACAAAATGCTGACTCGATAAATTACAGCTTACCGTGTAGGTATTTTTAAATGATTTGAATTTTGCGTGACTCTATATTGGACTATTTCCTTCTTTTTCAAAAAATTTCATTTATATTACATACAATGTAAATTTTTGCATAATTTAGTATTTCCGTCGGCCATTGGCGTAATTAAACTGGCCACAAGTCAATTCATAAAAATCTGGAATCGTATACATGCAAATTAATGATATTTTGTAAAAGAATAGGTAATGACTTAATTTTTCCGAACATTTTAATGGGCTTAATTTAAGTCATCATGTTCCAAAACCATAAAATTGGTTAAAGTTGGTCCTATTTTGATGTTTGAAGTCACAGAAAAAAGATGCGAGGTACCGTAAATTTTGATACGCAGGTCAAATAAATTGAAAATACTCACAAATTTGAGTGGCAAGAGCGTATGATGATATTTCATTTCTCTTTGCTTCTCCCTTGCAAGAAGAACTGAAGAACATGTGCAAAAAAATTTCATTTATTTATTTAATGAATGCTCTACGAACTGGTTATTTTCTGTAACAGCCGAGATCGCTATTCTAAATTTGTTAAACGGTGGTAACAGCGTTCTTTCATAAAATGTTTCTTGTTCCAAGTTTGTTCAAGCTTTAATGTAATTGTGTGGCAATTAAGTAACATTTCTGTGACTATAAAATGCTTTGCTGTCCCCAAAAAGGAAAATAAAAGCTTCGGCAATCGGGAGTGTACCAAACGGTCCCAGAAAAGAGACAATTTTACAGCTGTTTTTTTGAACTTCGTATTTATCACAGCAGCGAACTTTTTTTTTTAACAAGCTTTTTCAAGTGACAATTCTATGTATCAGCAATAAATCTTTTGCTTGCGATTTGCTCATTGTGGTGATTAAAATAAATCATCGTAAGCATTTTCCAAACTTGGAACAGTTTGTAATTTCTCAGCGACACTTACTGGACGTAAACTATTTACTAAGATATTTTATGTTTCATGTTTACTATTGATGTTTGTTTTACAGTTAGTTGGAACTTCGTAGTCAAGGGAATAGCGGTCAGGACTATAAAATTAATTAACACAAGCCTAAGGAGATTTATATATGTATATTTTGCTAAGTGAGTAATGTTTGAGGTTATGCATTGAGAAATAGAAAATGACGTCTTCAATTCAAAACTGTCGAAAGTTTCCAAGTTGCTCGATTTCCACTTCATTATCTTACATTCACTCATTCAAATCTAGAGTCTATATTTTAGCAATTAAAACTTTCTAGTCCGTTTCATTTCTGAAAACTATTTCAAAAACCTGAGTTTTCTATGCTTGCAATTGTGAACCACACTCAAACTTGATAAAAAGTTGAAGCCAACACTAAAAGTTTTAAAAGTCCGTATTATGACAACTTTTCGCAGAGGGAATATTCGTTCCACGCCTCGAGTTAGTTATATCTCTCGAAAGTTTAAACCGAGATTCTTTCGAGATTTTATATTAGAGATACGTGTGCCTTATTGTATGAGTTACGACGTCTTAAAACTTTTCTCAAATTTGTTAATTGAATAAATCAAATGAGAGTGGTATAATATTTACTTCTTACAATGGTTGAAGTGATGTAAGGTGATTCAATGCGATTCTTCAGACATCTTAATAGTACCCAACAATCGAAGTTATTTCATAATAGCGGGAAAAAAATCCTTTTCGGAATCAAAATAATATCGTCAGTGTGTGAAAGGACCCCGCACATTTCTTATGGAAAAATGATCTATGTGGAATTTTGCTGAATTTTTGATATTGTGTAGAGGGAGTCGTCCTTAACAAAAGTTATCATTGCGCTAATGTTTAATACCGAAAAGTTTTTAAGATATCAATTAAAAACTTTGTTAATGTAATACTCTTCAGTATGACGTCACCAGTATGCTCAAAATACAACAACAGGTGCAAATGAAATCGCTTTATGACTGATATGAAATGAGGTTGACGATTGCGGCAGGAGCTAGGTGTGGGCGCTTTCTTTTATTCAGCGGTGGATCCATCGGTAATCAACATTTCTTTGTCTAGCTCATAGAAAATTGAAATGTCTGTCTCATAATGCTGGCAGCAGATGGATCCATTGCTGAATAAAAGAACGCGCCCGTGTTGTTCACCGATAATACACTTGTTTACCCAAGGTTCCTAAAGTCAATAGGTTGCCTGGTAATAAGTAGGTAATTTGATGACGCATCTGGGGTGCCTTATGGAGAATTGCATTATCTTTAGGCATACAGATGACGTCATAAAAGTTATCTGGCAACCTTCTTCTTTTGAACAACCTTGTTGTTTATCTACGTATTTGTCACTAATTACTATCACTATCTTTTTTTATTTCTAAATGTTAAAAGGAGAAGAGTATAGTCAAAGTCAAAAGTGGAAAGAATAGTAATAATTTTTGTTGCTGTGGGCATACTGGTGACGACATGCTTAGTGGTGCCGCGAGACGAGACTAGACGAAACTTGGGGTTGGTCTCGTCTCGTCTCGTCTCGACATCCCGAGACGAGACCGTGATTTAGTCTTGGTCTCGAGTACCAAAGTCTCGTCCGTCTTGAGTGGTCTCGTCTGGTCTCGAGTTATACAGGGTATCCAAAAATAGCGTAAAAACTCTTCTCTACAAGGAACCCCAGAAAAATATTTTAAAAAATCTAGTGGCATTCTTAAGAAAGTTATTTGCATTTTAATATTTATTAAATTTGGCAACACTGAAAATATCCCGTTGACAATATGTCAGAGGAGAATTAAATTAAATACCCATGTAACTACCTGAAGAATTCGAAGGTGAATTTTCACATCTACTTCTTCATATTACCAAGAATAATGCTGGACAAGGATTTTTTTAGTTTAATTATTTTTCTAGGGTTTCTCAAAGGGTCCTCTACTACGTCGATAGTTTTTACGCTATTTTTCGGACACCCTGTATTTATGGTTTTTGTTTTTATATTACAACAGAAGTCCAAACTGCCACAGTGAAAAATCACAGTAAAGAGTAACCCTGATATTTAATTTACTGATTTCATATTCAAATAGCCCAGAATAGTCTAATAATAAAGCTACGAAAGAAAAATTTTAAGTGTAATCTCGAGACTCGAGACTACACGAGACTCTCGCCGAGTATGGTCTCGTCTCGTCGAGACTTCACGAGACGAGGCCAAAAGCCAGTCTCGTCTCGAAAAGTCGAGACGAGACGAGACGAGACCAGACTCGAGTCTCGCGGCATCACTAGACATGCTGAAGAGTATTACATTAAAAAAGTTTTTAGTTGATATCTTAAAAACTGTTCGGTATTAAACATTGGCGCAATGATAACTTTTGTTAAGGACAACTTCCTATACACACTATCAAAAATTCAGCAAAATTCCACATAGATCACTTTTCCATAAGAAATGTGCGGGGTCCTTTGAACGAAGCTCCAAACATTGAGTTGGTGTGCTTCCGCTTATATTGCACTGGTGAGAGCTAATAAGCTAGAAAATGGTAGACAGTGATTAAGAATTCGGTTTTGTCCATTGTTTTGGCGATCAAAACCACATGTGTTATGTAATCTGGCCGGGACCAGACCCATGCTAACTCATCAACTGAGTTGTTAGCAGTGTGTTTGGATCCACGGTTTGTGTTTTTCCAAACTTTGATGTCAATAATAAATCTGTTCGACGATCGTGTCTCCACAATTGCCCTTTTTCCTCGTGTTTTTAATGGCTCAAAAGCCGCCTTGTTGCGTTTGGATTGAAATCAAAGTAATTTGTAGTTTTATACAAAGCTGGCTTTAGTATCTGATACCTTCGATAAAAAGTATGACAGGAAATGTAGTTCCATCTTAAAAAAATATATATATATATATAATACATTTCATACATGTGTGCATTTCCAATGAATGACGCCACTCATCGGCTAAAATCTGAATAAACGACCGACAAATTGCCTTTTTACTGACTCCTATATTTTATGGCATGTATTCAATCCACAAACAATATACCTTCAATTAAAAATTCCTATGCCACGGCTATGCAGATCAAATGCGAGTTTTATTAGCTCTATCATACACCTTTTAAAAAAAAATATTTGTTAAACGTTCGGAAAAAATTCTAACGCATGATAACCTAATTTTTTTTTTCAGACCAGCGTGCCCCAGCTCATTATTTCATACCTGGGAGGCTCTGCTTCAGGAAGTTGAAATCGATTCTCAGGTGAGGGTTGAATCTACATGATACTCACGTTACATTTTAGGTTCAAGATAAGTGCCAGCCCAAATTTTAGTGCGTAAATTTGCCTGAATTTATAAAAATTTTACGGTTTAGCTTAAAAAAAAAAACATCGTATTGAAAGTTTCCGACGTTAACTGGAAAACTGTAATGTGTTTGAAAAATCAATGTGTGCTTTATCTTCATCGTCAGAAAGTACGAGAAATGTAAAAGTGATGGTTTGGAAAATGCTCTAAAAAAACATAGGAAAGTTACCTGAAATGAAAAAAAGAGACCTTGACTAGAAATAAAAGTTGTTGTAGAAAAAAATCCTTGGATATCAAGTAACAAACAAAATATCACATCTCCGAGACTTCCGGAAGATTATAATTTAATGTCACGCTGCTCAATAAAAAAAAGTGAATTTTGAAGCAGAGTAGGGGAGCTTCGATGCCACAAACTTTTTGGAAAGAATAACTACTAAGAATTCTAAGACTACTGTCTGGGTCTCACAGAATCCCAGTGAGGAATGGCAAACATCTTAGGCTCAATATAGTAAAAAAAAAACATAAGGTCCAAACTACAGAAAAGGAACTTGTTGGCTTGAAATATGATACCTACCTTCTGACATTATTGAGTTGAGTAAGTTAACCCAAGTGAAAGTTTGCTAGTTTGCAATGCTAGAATATACAGTTAATCTCCATGTCTTAAGGAGAGAAAAAACAAAATATTTTATTTCAAGTAATTATTTGAAATTTAATTACCGATACTATGGTTTTATTAGCAGAAATAGTGAATGCAGCGATTACTGCGGCAAGCGTGAAAAACATTCGAAAAAGCTCCTCTTTTATGAGACAATAAATATTGTGTGTGTTGGTGTTAATGATACTATTTATTAACCAGAATCGGAAAATGGTTAGTCGTTGTAGGCAATGAAATGTGCATCGTAAACGTTGAAATTAAAAAAATCATTAAAATGGTTAAACCCGCATATAAAATTTTAATGATCATCCTGTAGCTTAAAACTAGCTTTAATAAATTTTTCCTAGGTCTTTTTATAACACCTATAATAATAGAGAAATTGGGTATATATAAATTTTTGTTCGAAATCTAAATAAGGTTTATTATATAGCTGGTTTTATTGATTGATAACCTAATGGTAAAGTATGGAATCATTTGTCAAACTGTATTCCTAATGTGCTTTCATGTTATATCTATAGAGCAGGGAAATCAATAATATTATAACAAATTTTAGCTATAAAGGAAAACAGTGTAAACAATGAAGCTCAGTTTGAAGGAATTTTAAAATATATATCTTATTGTTCTTTCAGGCATTAGGCGATATAGCCTCCATCTTAGGACGCCAAGTATCTCGACCGATGTTGGAAAGATCATTTTATAGGAAAATGCAATCCAGAAAGGTGTTTACGCACAGAGAGAGTTACGAGACTATAATAGCCAAGACGGAGGAAAAGTTAGCTAAGGTAAGCAGAAAAAATGTTCATTCAAGAAGATACATTTCAACCCTCAAAAAGTTTAAATGTCTCAGTTTCTGTATAAAGCATGCTCAAGAAGCGTTCATATTTCTTGGTTACTACATTGTGATTGGCAAAAAGGCCATCATAAATGAGACTTTTCATTGGTATGACGTTACCATACTTTTATTTACCTCCAAATACTTGATAAGTATCCAAAAACAAAAATGTTACTTCTATTTCCCACGTACTTATAATAAAGTCATTAAATGAAAAACCATCGGACTGCAAAAAGGAAGAGATTCTATAATTTAATTTTCCGCAAACTTTTAGCAAGCTGTTCTGATATAGCGAATCTCTGTTTAACTTTTTTTTTCGTTTTTCGGTAAGGGAAACTTTATTGAGTTTCTGGGTATAGTCTGGTCTACATGGATAATGTGTTAGAATTGCCGTTGAGCAAACAAAAACTTCGTAAATGCATTTGTCTGGTTTGCGGAGTATCGTGAACATAAAATTGGGTACTTAAAGTAAAAAAGAAAACCTCAAACGAACTAATGGATTTCAAATGAATTTATGTTTTTTTCTATGAGTCCCGAAACTTTGTTTTGAAAGCTCGTTAGTTTTAAGTGAGCAAGCGGTATTCGTTTTCACGACGAAAATATGTTTTTCTTACAAGTATGGTAATTAATTCTAGATAACTGGTTCCAAAAGTTTGATTCTTGCATTAAGTGCCTTTTTGATTGATTCAAGCAAAAAAGGGAGAACACTAACCTTGTCTCTTTTGCCTTATTAGGTTTTTTCTTCGACTGTGTCGTCTCGCGTCGCAAATTTAGGATAAGATGACGATAAGTAAACTTTTCATTTTGCGTGATCCCAGACGCTTAGAGTATCTTCTTTTGTCGCTTTTTTTCACCGAGGCAATTTTTCTTGTTTGTACCATAAATAATTCTTCAGCAAATTTTTTTTGTCTTGACGAGACGCTCCCATTTGCGCCACAAAGGCATCAATATTATCGACAAAAACATTATTTGAATCTAGTGTAATATGATTTATTGAAGATTTTATTCAATTTTTTTATTGAAAAATGATAAAAAAAAACAAGGATAAAAAGGCGCTCAGAATCACATAGGAACAGCACATGAAAAGATGAAACGGAAAATACAGAAATTCGGAAAAGACTCAAATTGGATTGACTCCTTTTTAGGCATTCGCTATGAAATTGCTTGTAGAAAGTGAATGAGGCGTTTATAATTGTGTTATTTTTAATGTTTGTTATAGAGAACTACAATATCCGAATTTGTTTGTCATCAAGCTTATTTATACTTATGCAAACCTTTGTTACAGACAAGACAGGAATACAAGAATGCTTATCTGTCATACTTGGCCAATCCAACGACTGAGAGCTTGAGTGCGTATTTTAATGCGCACAACGCCTACGTACAGCAATTGCATGCAACTAATGGTATGATGGAGGAGTTTGGAAATACAACATTACCGTCATTATTACAGGTGAGAATATACAATCATCATATTATGCTATCTTTCGATACCGAGAATGATTATCTTCTATTCTATTCGCGTGCGTTTTCTGATGGCTATTTACACCAATTCTGAAGTTGCACACTCTGCCACAGTCTTGGCACACCCAGCTTCTGGCAGCATTGTCTCTTCCTTGATCCTCTCGCTCCTTCCTGCGGTCGCTATTTTCGGTCTCGTGTCTACGTCGCTGTTCTTCGAAAGTTTGTTGTTTGTCGAGGACTACGGCCTATCATTTTCCGTTGTCTCCCAGTTGCTGGTATCGATGCAGTACTCCACCATATTCTTCCTAAGAACATCCTTGTAGCCTTTTTGTTGACCTTCCTGATTTCGTTTTCCCTCTTTCAATTGACTATAGAGAATCTGTCGTGGAAGACCGGGTGACCTGTCCAGCCAAGTTGGTGCTTAATGATGAGGGCTTCCATGTTAGTTGTTTTGTCCTCCTCTAAAATACCTTTAGGTGGTCCATGTTTCGCAGTCATATGTAAGTGTTGGTATTATAACTTGTATACGTAAAGTTTGGTCTCAGCGCTGATGTCGTGATTTTTAAAGACTTTCTCTAGAAGTCGCCCTAACGCCACGCTAGCACACTGTTGGATTTCAGCGTCAATGGTTGCATTAGCTGACAGATGGCTCCCAAGGTATGGGTAGTGTTCTACGTTCTGCAAAAAATGGTCATGTATTTGGGGCTTGGGGATAAGTGCCCAGTGCGGGTTGGTGCAGAATTACCATCTTGTTAAAGTTGACCTCCAGGCCGATTCTTCTATATACCTGGTTGAATGCATTGATACCTGCCTGAAGATCTTCCTCTCTATTGGCCATCAGGACGTTATCCTCCGTAAATTGAAGTTCAATTATCGATGTCGTCGATACTTTTCTCGTGGCTGGTAATCTGTTAAGGTTGAATAAGCCGCCATCAAATCTGTACAGAATTTCCACTCCTGGTGACAAGGTGAAGTATGGATCCTATAAATAGAGAAAATAAGGTGGGTGCAAAAATACAGCCCTGTTTAACGCCTGTAGGTATTTGAAAAGCCTCTCCTTGTCCATCGTTGCTTTGGACGGATGAATTCATATTATCGTGCAGCAGGAGGAGAATCTGGATGTAGTTGTGCGGACATATAACCTTTGCCAATATCTTGCAAATTAGGATTAGAGTTAAGCTTTTTTTAAAATAATAAAAAGAAAAATATATGAATCAATATCCAAAATAAATTTAAATTTGAAAATTCAAAATACAAAATGTTATGGTAACGCAAATGAGTTAACCAGAAGTTGAAGACAGAATATAGAAATAATAGAAAAATAAAATAATTATTGGAACGGATACCAGTCACAAACCTCAGTACAATGATGTGACCAAAGCTAAATAGACAAAATTAATCATCCACATGAAACAGGTTACGTCTAGCTTAAATGAATGTACCTAATAGTTGTTTTACTTGTCACTTGGTATAAGTACCTACCTACTGAATGGGCCACTTTCACATTTTTCAAAAACATATTTAAATTATTCTTTTAGTCATTCTAATACTATCTGTATACTTTTTTTCCAACAAAAATGCGAGGATGCCAAATTTCATTTAAATTTCGCATTTCTACATGTGGCAACAAAAACGTCAAAATCGGCTTTAGCCAATCAGAGAGCGTTTTCAATCACGTGATTTTTCGTTTACATTTTTAGTTTTTATTTATTAATTTATTTAATAATCTGACTAAGATCTTGCAAAATATTATTCATTCTCGGTTGCATTGATGTATCTGCGTCAAAAAATATCATAATTTGCCATATTCCCGGCACGTGAAAGTGGCCCATTTACACCCTTACGTACCGCGGTGATCACTTTGGCGCACAAAATAGGGACAAAATATATGACATTAAAGTTAAAATGACAACAATGGGTTCTTAAACTAAAGCTAGTACGATACCAATATTTTCCAAGTGATGTCAACAGGTTCAATTAACCTGGTTGGTCCTGGTTACAGGTTGTAGCTAGTATGGTCAAACCAGTCGTAAGGTTCAACAGTAGCAAAACAAAGGTATGAATAAATGAATGAATGAAACAGTGGGCGGCCGTGACCGTAGTGCACATAGGTCTCCTGTGGTGGACTCGTCGTGCCCCACTGAGTTCTACCAGAGGCCTATTTCCTTAGAAAAGCCAATCAAGCACCCTGGCTTCATCCCTTTGACGTCATCAGGCAAGCAATACGACATGCCCAGGTGTTTGAACCTCGCGCGCGTGAGTGCTGGGCACTCACCAATGACGTGGTCAGCCGTTTCTTCCTCTTCCATGCACCAGCACCATGTTGTGTAAATGGCGTCTTAGGTGCCAGTGTCCGGTTAGGAGACCAGTCACTAGCCGTATCTTGCGTCTGTTCAAGCGCAGTAGTTGTTTGGTGAGACAGGCAGAGGGCACATCAATATGAGCCTTAGCCTGTTTCATGCCATGTGCTTCCATCCATCTCCCAAAGAATCGCTCCGCGAGGATACCCTTGAGGGACGTGACAGCCTCACATCCAAACAAAATGTGTAGGCTCTAATAGTAATAGTAATCACAACTGTGCAGGCTCCGATGGAAGTTGCCATACACACACTCAAACGTGTAGCCTTCAGTTAAAAAGGGCTGACCGTATAGTTAAATTTGTGGCCGTAAGCAAAAACCCTAAAGAAAAACTGTTATAGCACTCTGCATTTGTAACTTAACCTTAGCCAGGGCCAGGCACTTTGAAATGAACCACAAGAAAATGAATGTAACTTAATCAATCATTGATAGTTAATTTACTAGGTAAAACTATAGCTCTTGAAAAATATTTAAATAGTTTGTGTATAAAAAGCAGAATTAGATAGATTTGAAAGGAAAGAAAAAGTGGTTAACAAAAAAAATCTGTCGTTATTAGGTTATGTCTCACCTGTTGGAATAAGGTTTTATTTGCCTCGAAAATACTCTGGCCTAGTCTGGATCGAGGTCTGGATTCGAGTTCCTAGAGTGAGGTGGTCTTCATTATACTCTTTAGGGCAACTTTTCACTGAAGATCAAAATAGGAAATGTTGGAAATAATCCTTGTGGGAAAAACATGCAAAGCAAAACTTACGGAATTGATGGTTGTAAAAATAAAATCCGAAATCATCGGCGAAATTATGACACTTACGAAAACGTAACGCAACGTAAGGCAACTCAATGTATCATAAATTCAATAATTGAGAATATAAGGTCAAAATCGCTCAAAGGCGATGACAAAAATAACTTCTTCAGAAAGACCTTTTTCTCGGAACCACCAAACGTGAAAAGAAAGGTCTACTACAAGGAATTAATTGGCTGTCCTAGATTTGAAGAAAAGAGATTAGGCAAAGTAACGACAAAATGTCAAGAAGAAATCGGGGAAAATTGCAAGTACCAAAAATTGTACACAGCAATATAGTCAGACAAAAATTGCAACAGCTGACGACTAATGATAACATAACAACAACAAGTAATTAACTTCTAGAACAATCATAATTTGAAGAATACGACATTGGGTAAGCAATCCGTGTCGTAAAACGCAAGCGCTTACTAGGAATCGATGATCTCAAAAACATTACTAATCGAAAGCCAATTGACAAAAATGAACGACATTTCTGCCGTCAGCTGGCACACAAATCATTGTGTGACATGACGTAAGAGTCACTATAAAATAGAGAGCAACCCGGTGGTTTATGGGACCGGATGCGGAACTAAATCTGGTACTGAGTTCAGCAACCAAACAGAGTACGTGCAGTACACACTTCGTGAACGGACTACAATTTGGAAACCCAAATGTCAGATTCCTGTCGTTGGTATCAGATCCCTCTCGGTGGTATGAATCGCGTCACAAATGTTATATTCTTCAATTATTGTCACGCTTTTTCGCTGATTAAAAAGTTTAGAAGAAAAAAAAAAATAAAATAAAAAAAATAAATAAATAAAAATAAATTAAAAATAAAAAACAAAATGAAATTTAAAAAGGAACTTGAGATTGTAGGACTGAAGGTCGAAGTGCGTGCAAATTATGCCCTAGCTCAGAACTAAACAATTCGGAGAGTAGGGGTGGGTTTTAGTTTTGGGCGCCACCGACTCTGGACAAATGAGTCGGAATCTCCAGGATGTTATCTGGCTCCAGGTCCTTACATTTCAAACAATAATAAAGAAAAAGAAAAATATTTTAGAAAAGTTAAAACTAGGCTGTGCGCATGAAACTAAATAAAAGTCAGGTCAAATCTAGTGCTATAGTAAGTTTATTTACCAAATGCTACCGTCCACAATGTAACGATTTGGGCATTGAACATAAAAAAAATAATAATAATAATAATAATAATAATAATAATAATCAAGTAAATGAGCAATTATATCGAAGTGAGAAAACTATTTACTATTTAATAAAAGGTACAATCACTGGATTGTCATTAATTCAATTAATAAAATAACCTTGTCATGAAGCCTTAACCAAGAAATATAGTACGGCTACTATTAGAATAATAGCAATAGTTATAAACAATTGAATTATATGTAAAAATCTAATGGGTTATTGTAACTCAATAACCAACTGAGTAATAAAAAATGTATACATGAAATGTAAGGGTTGAAAATCTAAAAAAAAAAAAATAAAAAAAACAATAAACAGAGAATTAGTTATCGGAACGATTATCTTACACTTACGTAATCAGAACTACCAGTAAGTTGACATAAATTATTCAGGTAATGTCTAGTTAAGTTACCTATATTAATAATTCATTTGCCACGTTGGGACAAGCACTGAATTACCCCCTGAAATACCGTAGTGATCACTTTGGTGTACAAATAGGGACAGAATGTAAATAAACAATAATAATATATATAGGTTAACTAAGACTAGTACGATATCAAAATGTTCCAGGTGATAGCAGATACAATCAACCAGACTAGTCCTGGCAACTGGTTGTGGTTAAGTTGATCCAACCAATCTTACGGTTCCAAATTTACCGTCCACAAGACTTGTGTAACCGTCCAACTACTTAGGCTGGTGTCTGATAGCCTTTTAGTTCAATTTTGGGTTACAATTGAAGGTGTATTGTTGTAACCGTGAGTAAAAACTCGGTAATAAAAGAAAACCCTAAGAGAAAAACTATTATAACACACTGTATTTGTAATTGAACCATAGCGGAGCACTTCATGAATATATTGATTTAGAAAATGGAACTACATTGTAACTCAATTTACTTGATAAAAAAAACTATAGCTCTTGAAAATTATTTTAATAGAAAAATTGAGCAATAATGTATTGATTAATTTAATTAGATGAAATCATAATAAAGCTTTGATAATAATTAAAGAAAATGTGCCTCGAGTTTGCAAAAATTGAAGTTAATAAGGTTATGTTTTTACCTGTTGGAAATAGGGTTTGTTTGCCTCGAAAACCTCTAGAAATCTGGATCGAGGTCTGGATTGGATATCCTGGAGTGAGTGAGATGATACTCTACTCTTTAGGGCAGCTTTTAACTAATGATTAAATTGAAAAAGTCAGAATCTAATGTGAAAAAAAAAAACGTGTGCAGCAACTTACCGAAATGGCTGTTTTTTAAATCCGATAACATCGGCGAAAATTATGGCACTTTACGAAAGTAAAATACAACACAAGGTAACTCAGTGTGCCATCAAATCAATGAAGAAGAAAACCAGGTCCAAAATCCCTTTTTAAGGTGAAGAAAAAAAAAATAATTCTTCAGGAGGACCTTTTCTTCCAAACAGTCAAACGTGAAAAGAAATGTGCAAGACATAAAATCAATTAGTTAAGCTACAGCTAGAAATTCAGAGATGATTCAGGATAACGACAAACGTCAAAAATTAATCGATAGAATTCTCACTTACCAAAAATTGCACACAACAATATAATCCGAGAAAAATTACAACGACTGACGAATAATGATATTAACAACAAATAATTATCCCATAAAACAATCATAACTTGAAGAATACAACATAGAGTAAGTGATCCGTTTGCAAAATTAGATGGCTTAAAAATAAATCGACGATACTAAAAACATTACTAATCGACAGCCAGTTGACCGAATTAATCACACTTCAAAAGTCAAAAAACCGAAAGCAAGGATAGCGCAGAAAATATCTCTAAGACTATCGAACCGATGATTGACCCGGGCTTTGGGCGTGAAGTGAGTGTCCCTGTCCTTATGTGTGGTTAGTTTAGTTTAGTATTTATTTTTAATAATATATATATATATATATATATATCTCTTTAGTAACTGGCTGAATGACTGCTTAGTCAAAGTCAAAGTCAAAAAAAAAAAAAAAAAAAAAAAAAAAAAAAAAAAAATTGACCCGGGCTTCACTAGAACTTGCACCGAGTTTAATAACTCAATAACCGAACAGAGTAAGTACGAACGGAGCAGCTCTGTACATACACTTGAAAACGGATTTGATCTGGGAACATAACCCCAAACGAAATATTTTTGACAAATGAATATTTATTTGTTTATGAAAATCAGATGATGGAATTTCAAATTGGAATCAAAATATTGATTTGTTTTGATTTTGAAATTGAATTAAAATATGGATTAAAATCGAGAAAAAATCATTACAGCACAGGAACTAGTGACAAATGGAAATAGAATAGAAGAAGATTTACAGGATCTACAACCGTTGAGATTGTTGTTGAAATTTTATAGAGAGAAAATGTTGACAAATTTAAGAGAATTTTTAATAGAAAACTGAAAGTAGGTAAGAATTAGTTGTGCAATTTTGGCCTGTTACATTATTTCCTCGTTTCTTCTTTCTCTTTTCTTCTAAACTTCGCATTTCTTGCGTCAGACTTGCATGTGAGTATCACCAATATGATGATTTCACAAAACAATTTTGAACCATGTTAGTGGCTGCTAAATATATATCCAGAATTTGCCGCATACCTTGGACCTGTGGCAATAAATATACAACATAGGAACAAAGAAACGACCAGAATTGCACAAGTCCAACTGCCGCCTGGGGCAGATTGAGAAGCCCGCCGTAGTCGAAAACATGCTAACAAAAACAAACCATTGCATGAAATTCGAGGAAACTCGAGTTCTCGCCTTGACCTCCTCATAACAAAACCGAGAAAGCAATAAAAATACATAAGACATGAGCTATGAAATATAGGTAATTTAGCTACATCCTCTAGCAAAACTTTGTTTTATTTAAAAATCAATTTTTATGCCAATCGAGCAGGACATTTTTTTATTATTTATCTACGTTTCGATGTCAAATCTTGATGACATTGCACCTGTATCCTGCGCCTGAACAAACAGAGGCAATTGAATTTGTCATCTGTCCCATTTTACATTTAGGCATTTAAAAAGTTGTATGCGCTTAGCGCAATATCCAATTTCGAATTGAAATAAAGCCGAATCGAAGTAAGCTTTTGAATAAATAATTGAATTTTGCTAATGTTGTTTGATATTGTTATTATAGCCTTATGGGAATTTTGGATTTAGATTTATCGAAAAAAAAATATGAATCGGTCAGATTCTGTTTCAGTGAGGTTAGACTTTAAGTTCAATAATAAGGCCGGTGAAGTCGAAATTGCGAGTAATGAGTCGCTGTCTTTCTTCAATACATCATTCAGCTTTCTTTAATCCACACAGAACCTCGTGGAATCATCGTTTTGGTTACTATCAACTGGCGATGACCTGTGTCCTATGTGATTTTACAGTTTTTCTGAAGTTGTGTGTCAATCTGTTCGCTTTCACATTTATTCTTTTCATGCTTATTTATTATTTGTCGGGAAAATTTCCAGAAAAACATTATCAGCCTGTCTCTTGCTACAAAATTTAATCTGGTAATAGACGGCTTATAGATCTTTGTATGGTATTTGTACTGTTTATATGTAAAGTAGTCAGATTGAAGTTGTTCACTACACTCTCCAACGTTCCCAAAGCTTTTGTGTTTGCCAATAAAGCAGCTAATATTATATTTTGGTCAAAACAAATAACGCATTATTTTGCAGAAACGGATCTCATTTAGATCTGCTTTATAACGTTGCCTAATTTTTGAAGTTCACCTTTGCATAGAATGCCGCTACACAAATTTAATGAGGTCTCAGAAATGTGATGGAACTCAAATAAGCCTCTCAGTGGCAAATTATTTCTCGGATTCAACTCAAATATCATTTCTGTAAAATTCCTATCCCTTATAGGTATACAGAAATGTAAACTGTAACGAGCCTAGAAGCAAATTCAACTATCAGCCGGCTTTGGCCCTATTATATATTTTATTACGGTTTGCATGCTCGAATGCAAAAATTCCTTTTTGGAAATAACATCGGAAATCGTCGATAAATTGCTACTCGAGGATATATTTCCTTCAAATGAGGTCCCTATCAAATGCGAGTAATGCGACCCATCGAATATTCAATGACCGGAAACAAGATTTAATCTTTAACATATTTACTTTACCGTCGGAAAAATGTGTTTTTTTTTTCTGGTTTTCATATAATAAATATCAAAAATCAAGTGTGTTAGAGCTGTTAAAAAACCTTCAGGAATAAACTACTGCCGAAAAATATTATCTACTCTTTTCCAGTATCCACTTCCACAAAACCTGGATATCCCTTCTCGGGAGCTTTGGAAGTGCACAGACATCAATAAAATATTTCTCGGTTGAGTGCCCAAGGTAACATTTATGGCTTTAGATACAGAAATTCCATTGACAACGACCCTTTCAGTCAATTGGAAAACACTTTTCAATTGATTGGATCACTCGTAGGTAAAGCGCCAAGAGTCAAGAAATATTGTGAATGATAATATATGTTAGTTCATGGAGAATCGAGTTTTTATAGGTATCTCGTAGGATCATGAAGTGAATTTATATTTGGGGTAGTTTAATTTCCAATAGTGAGTTTTATTTTACTTTGAATTTAAATTATTTTTATGAATGGCACATTAATGTAACTTTTGTATTTCAGGAACTAGAAGAAATCTATACGGATTTGTGTTCAACAGTGACTGACGCGGTTATACAGGGTGCAGAAATAGTTTCATCTAGGGTAAGTTAACTTTTGCTTACTGTATCTGTCATAATATAACAAAATGGTTTATGAATTTTCCATAGCTGTAGTGAAAATTTTCTTTCATCAAGTAATGGTTTATAATAAATATGACTTTAAACTTCTAGAAAATCACTTTTTTACAGCATTTTTCAGAATATATACTATCACTCTATTCTGAGGAATGTCTCGTAAAAGCCAATTGATTCTTGAATCATTCTCCAGAAAGTTACCGTTTTATTCTCATGGTAGTCTACGCAAAAGTCTTTATTTAATATTCTTTGCAGAAAGTTATAAGGAATTTGGGACCTAACCCAACCGCTTTCTGGCCTCGTATTTAAAATGTTGATCCTTCTGCCTTTATTTTTTCCTAATTTGATGGGATTTGACGCGATCCTTTTCACTGTAGTCGGAGGTATCTTAATAAAATCACATATTTGACTCTTAGCAGTACTAGCGGTAAAGAACCACATAAAGTTTTTATAGTTTTCCTAACATCGATAGATAAATGCTTTTTCTCTTCACCGAGACACCACAGAAAAAGCAACATTAATCTTTTTCCACGAACGCATGATAAAATGATATAGAAGTTATGGCCGAAATGGCGCGCGTGCACATTAATGAAGTGATTAAATCACAACCATTTTACATGGAAAAAGCTTAATAATGTTCAATTCATGAAAGCAACTGAAAACTGAAAGCAATTTGATTCAATGAGCTTGTTGGCAATCAAATCTCTGACTATATTTATGTCAATTAAAATGAGCCCACGTTTAAATGATATTTCCCGAAACAGGCCTTTTTTGTATAACGTCAAAGGACCACTCGAGTGAAATATTTATTTCATTCCTGGAATAAACTTTGAATAGCAACAATAGCTACATTTGTGCTTAATCCTTAAAGTAGATACACTACATGAGAGCCAGTAAGTAAAAAATCCTATAATAACTTTATACGTAACATCGTAGCTTCTATCTGTATATATGTCCAAATTATTGTGATGAAGTGTATAAAGTAAACGTTGCTGCTCTGAATAGCAATGCCGACCTGAAGAACGAAAAAGAAAATGTACGCCCGAATATTGTACGTGCTCGGAGAAAATGCAACCCTAAATATATAAGAAAAATGCAGTAAATCGTACTTATAGAATCGTATGATTCCATCTGCTTCAAAATAGTCGGAATGCACAGTAGGAGAGGATGTCACGCTTTTTAATTGGAATGCTTGATTATGCCTAATTGATTTAGAGAGAATATTTATTTTAATAGTGATAGAACAATGTAAGTTTAGCGCTTAGTGAGTTAGATAGCATATATTAAAATAATTCTAGAATTACGAGAGTAAGGCAGAATAAGCCATAATCCTCCTGGATACTGTCTTATTTTTCTATAATCCTAACAAGCAATGCCAAATAATAATTGACCCAATATCAACATTGAAAATACTCTCCAAAACTTGAGAAAAAGGGGCTGTTAAAGAACACGAAGCCAAATAAAATTCCACACCGCGAAATAAGACAATATACTGGAACTGGGCAGGGCATGGATGAGAGATAACAGGTGGATTGCATTTGCATTGCATTTTTCATCTTCTCTCTTAATAAAATTATTAGAGGGGATTTGAATAGAGATAGAAATACAGATGTTTAGCACTACTGGTTGCTCACGATAGAAGAGACAGGTAAAATCTGAGAAAGGATTTTGTACAGGAGTGGACAAGATGAGCTGACGAAGCTGGCTAAAAAGATTTATCTCATTGTTATTGGTAAAGCTCAATGGTTGAAGATGCATTCAATGTTAAATTAGATTTTGGCAGCTTGTCTAGCACTGGAGGCTAAACATTTTTATAAAGTCGATACCAATAGAGTAATAAAGATAAATAGTTGAGCTTTCTAAGTTTTACTATGTAATTTAAAAGCTTAAATACGTTTTCAACATTTTCACGAATCTCAGCTAAACGATACGCCGCCACTTTGCGCTCGCCTCGGTAACTTAAATTTACGTCATTTATGGGAAAAAGCTTTTATCCTAAGAAGTGGGACAGCAAAAAAGTAATTGATTCTTTATTAGCTACGAGTACGCATTGCGAAATTGTGATTTGAAATCAGAAATTAATAAATTCTATGATAAAAAAGGTTCGGAGCGTGTATTTTAATGGCTAAGTAATGAAATGTTTGTTACAAATAAATTTAATTATTTGTGATTTTGAGCAAGAGAACCTAAAGGGCCGTGGAATAAAAAAAAATAAATAAAACGTGTTGCCCCTTTATGTGCACTCAAATTCCAACAAACAATAATTTTATTTAGTAAATATTAACAATGTAAGTAACAACTTACTTTTTAAAATTTGAAAGTTAACAGTGTGGTTGTTCTGGTGACACTGATACGTTTTGTACCTTTTCCAAATCCGGAGCTCTTCAATTGATGTTCGCGTTTCACTTCCGTGAACCGGAGCTCTTCGTGTTCTTTCCTGTATCGAGGAAGAGGATAGAATGCTGGGGTGACGTCACTCCAGCTGATCCAGACTCTAAATAGTGATATTGTAGAATAGGTACCCAGAAAAGAATTAACAGTATCAGGTTCACCAAATTTTGGAATATCAAATTCCTGAATTCTGTTCAAAAGCGAGTATCTTGCAAAGAAAAATTGAAATGTAATTAATTAAATATAAAACTATTGTTGTTCAGATACTCCCTTCTAATAGAATCAGGTATTAGCAACTATTGGAAATTTTCCCTTATAGAAATACAATTAAATAATTTGGAGAAAAAAAAGCATCAATTAAGAGTAAGTAAGTACAGCAAGATCAGAGATAAAAAATAGATGCTCGTTATAATTGAGCAGAATGCTGCTTCTCGAGCAGTCGCGCTGAACAGGCAAAAATAAATAAAACAATTGTAGGAAAAATTGAACAAGATAAAAAAAAATCTCTAGATTTTCCCCGAATAGATAAATTTTAGGTACCTATTGGTATTACAAGATAAAGGTGAGTGTGAAATAAATTAAATCCAAGGAACTGCCAAAATTCTTGAGATGTTTGAATAAAAACTTTTTTAAATTAATTTTTGTCCTATCCCGGACTTCTATTCTAAAACTGTACCCTTTCAGCACTCTCCTTCTTGAGTAGATAATGGGGGAGTCAAACAATAAATGGCTAGATAGGTTTCTGCCTGGATTCCGTCAAGTGTTGATAGGGATGGACACATAAATTTGGTTTACACCTACTCTATTTAGAGAAAATGGTCCAATAATCCCACTCTAACAATTAAATCTAAATACCAAAGCAGCAACACCTATTTTTTTGCCAAAACTTTGAATTGACTCTCCTCAGAAAAATGTGGTGCCACACAAAATGGAGATTCCACAATAAATAAAACATTAAAATATGATATTTATCTTTTGAAGGTAGATAAGATACAATGTCAGGTAATAAAAACCCAACAGTGATAGTAGACACTGATGGTGAAATAAAACGAAAAATATTAAGAGAAAATCTAGAAATCTGAAGAGAAAAAAAATTACAAAAGGAAAACTGACTTGCCTGTTCAACAGCCTGCCAGAGAAGAGGTTTTTTAGAAACCCAATTTCCCTTAGGAAAACAAGTCTTGTGTTTTTTTCCTACTTAACTGTGTAGTAGCCATTGAACCAATCAGAAGACACCACTCAAACATACATAAAACATACCGTGTTCACTTCATTAATGAAACACCACGCTAATTAAGTGGAAATAGATAAAAACACTTTAGAATTATTTAAATTTTTCACAAATTATAATTATTTAAATTTAGGTTACGTAAGAAACACAAAACCACTAATCAATTAGGTCATCAAGTTACAAATAATTAATATTATTCAAGAATCAGAAGTTAGAGAAAGACAGAAATATATTTATTTGCTGAAGGCAGGATAAGGTTTCTAGGTTTTTGCCTTCCACTACCTTGGTGTTTAGTGATTGTTTTGTTTCCCCGATATGGCTCTCTACATTCGCGAGGTTCTTTCCTCAAGATTTTTTGGTAAGTTGTGTTTTCTTCAAATTTACTGTACTTTTCTCTGATAATCCTTTGACATATAGACTTTATGTTACTGCTGCTTTAGGACTGTTGACTTTTTTTTGTCCGAGTACTTTCGTTACAGGCCATATCGTCATCGTCAAGACGGGCGTTCCCAGATGAAGTTGCAACTTCGATGTTGCATAGTACTTTCACTTCTGGTGATATGACTAGTGATGCCGAGACACGCTCTCTTTCGTCTTGTCTCGAAGGTTCGAACGAAAATGAATTTCTTGCCTCGACGAGAGAGCTCTCCTCTAGTCTTGTCTCATTTTCTCTCGTTTCTCGTGAGTTGACTTTAATAACAGGGTGTGGTGTTAATTTGATATGTGGGTTCCGTATAAACTATACGTCGTAGTTATGTTTCTTTATTTTCATGCTCGACATTATCCTCAGTTTGTCTAATACTAGAATTTATTTATTTTATTTTTTATGGGCACATAAGCCTGTTTATATCGTTATAAGACTTTTATTTTCAACCATATTTCACTGAGAGTGGCAAAGTGCATGACGTTTTATTTATTTAGTGGATAGGGCTCTACGCTTTCCTTCCAAAATGCACTTTTGTTCCGGCAATTTAATCTGCCACTTTCGTTTTGGAAGGAAGCGTAATGTCCGTTTCTCCTTTAAAGCCACGCTAGTTTAAATTATGATGACAAACATGTGCAAAGACACAGACTGAAGTATGTCACGTATTCCCTACAAAACGTTAATAATGAAAACACTTCCCTCCTAAGCCACTTTTTCTCCCTAAAATATTATCGAACATAAAAGCTTTATGCCTGTGAAAGAGGACACATTTGTTGCTGCCAAAATATCACTCCTATGTCAGGGTGTAAAATGTTGAATTATGAAACTGGAGAAGCAGTCATGCATCAAAATGTGCGAATAATAATTTACGTTGAAGTAGTTTATGCATTATTTCGGAAACATATACGTTGTGTAAATAATTTTCACTGCTTTCATCTCATTTTTGCAACTATGTTTTGAAAATGTCTTTGTATTTGTTTTACTATATTCCATACAACGAACCAATTCTAAAAGAAGCCGTGAAAAATATATTCATCAGAGAAATTCAGGAAAGGATAAATCAATTAAAATTTCACCAGCTGACAGAAAGGACGCTACAGTAACAATTATGAAAGTTTTAATCTGGCATCAAACAAGAAAAAAACTCTAACACCCTGTTTCACAATTACTAGTGGTAACCTTTACTCTTGGGAGGACAAATAGAGCTCAAAGCATTTAAACAAAGTTTTTCCTTAGTTTGCCAAATAAATTCATCAAAAAAAAAGTAAAATTCCCCGACTATGAAAAATGCGTCTCAATGTTCGGCACTCTTCCCTATATATTCCGTTGGCATATTTATTTTCATAAATTTTTGTGGAGAATAAATTTTTTATCGTATCCCATTTTGGCCGGCATAAAAAAAAAGAAGTCACGGTCACGCGAAAAAAAAAATCGTCATTGGATAATAAAATCAACCGAAAAAAATTTTACGTTTTTGCATTATTTATAACGGAAAGTTCGACGTTGTCAGGAAGAAAAATACGACTTTTTAGTAATTCACTCCGATTTTGCTTGGCTACCCTAAATAAACTCTTTTTACGATTTTTTTTCCTTACATGAATATTTACAGAAAAATTTGTTGTTTTATTATATGAAATGTTTCTTTTAGGCTCTAGACCAGACTAAGCGCTACGAAACATTAGTAAGCCAATGTAGATCAGTATCAGGAACATTAGACCTCGCTCATTTATCACGATCAATACCAACACCACCAGGGCGCGGGTTGATAACCAGAAGAGTATTTGTACCACCCCAACCACCACCATCCCCTGAAGCCGTTGATGGAGACGTTGCTAACGGTCATCCCAACAACGTAAGTATTCATTTCAATGGATAATGCAGACATCATAATCATGACCATAGGCGAGTATTATGATCTATTTTCATTGTCATCGATTTTGATGTTCTAGAGCAGCGGTCCCCAACCTTTTTTTAGTCACGACCCTTTTACAGATTTGCTCATAAGGTCGCGACCCCCCTACTCCTTAATCTTAATAAATAAAAAACAAAAAATCTCTATTAAAATATTAATATTCCATAACTAAATACAAAAAGTCAATTTTTATTTTGTTAATGTGATCACTGAGGTTACATCTCCGTTTTGAAATTCTTGGTTGAGTTTTTGTTAAAGCTAATCTTATGTCGTCTTGAACGCCCAGTCTACCTATTTCTGGCGTTAATTTCAATTTGCAAGAGTTGAAAAACCACTTTCACGAAAGTAGGTAGAGGCAAATGATATTAGTAGTATCCGAAAAGAAAGCATAAGCAGGGCGACATAAGGGTATGAACTGGGATATGAACTATGCATGGCACATCAAAATTCAGTCAAGAATTTTTCCTGAAATAGGGCAGGTGCTGTGGAATCATTCCTCAGCTCTAGAAATGTATTCTGTACTTCATCCAGGAACGTCGGCAACATCTAACGAGGATTGGAACAAGTTCCTTATACTACTGCAGCTATCTGTTCAGATAACTCAGGAATGACGACCATTTCATTCTCAAGGGATTGAAACCATTGAAGGTGATAATCAATAATTTTCTCTTTTAGATTCTCCACAATTTCTGTTTCTGATGCTTCAGCCATTATGCATAGTTACCTATGTTCAAAAACGTGCGACTCACAACACAACACTCACAATCTGTGCTATGCCCTTCATACGTAAGACCAATGCAACGCTGCGCGGGTTTTGAGGTGGAGGCTAAAGCTCAATTCTCACTTGCCCGAAATTCGCTCCTTTTTGACATTGCTTCGACAATAGACCTATCTATTTTACCAGACAAAGAGGCAATAATACGAAAACTTCATTAGATGAAAAAAGACACAGAACGCTCATTGCGCAAGACGAGGCAAAACGTACCAAATTATGTTAGACTTACGTATAGCAATCCTTTCTTCTTATTTGCACGGGATAAAAAGGGAAGGAGAAAGGCTGCATGTTGTGCAACGTATTTGTCAATGAAAATGTCAAACAATTTTTGCATGTCACTTTTCAAGTTGAATATCAACCGTACTTTCATTCTTGTCAGACCACGGGCAATGAACAAAGACAAGCAGATGTCCAGCGTGTAAAACGAACACCTCTCACCTGTACTAGTTAGCCAATAGAAAGGCATTGCCTCGTGTTGCGCGCGCATGCCAGGTAAAAATAGATAGGTCTATTCGACGTCAAATTGTCGAAGCATTGTCAAAAAAAGAGCGACTTTCGCGCAAGTGAGAATGAGGTATAAGGCGTGTTGCCAAATGCAGAAAAATATATATTGGCAATGCGACCCCTCCAAAAACTCTATGCGACCCCCTTAGGGGTCGCGACCCACCGGTTGGGAACCGCTGTTCTAGAGGTATACGCGATCAAATTTATACCACTATATTAAATTTGCAAAATTGACGACTATAGTAAGGGTATGAAGTAATATTCAGAAAATTTATAAACTTGATTCGATTTCAAATTTGTCTTTAAACAAAAGTAACTAATACTCCAAGTTATGTACCTAATCCATAATCTAACCCTAATCCTGCGGAATATTTTAGTGTGTTTCTCATCATCTCGCAAAATCAATTTACATTGAACGCTTCCAGTTAAATTGGGGCCGGATGAGAAGAAACAAAGTTTGAATTATTTGATTATAACTTTCGGTCGAAAATCGTTGGGATGGATGAGAGTGGGCCCCATTCAGCGATTGAATCCATGTTAAATTGTCTATCTTCTACGGACGGGAACACCGTTGTTTGCTAAATGCAAATACTTACCTAACCCGAGCAAAACTAATTATCTTTCTATACGATTCCATCATCGGTTGGTAACTTTTTCCCTTTTTCAAACATTTCCAGAGACGGTTTATAGGCTAATACAATTACAGCATATTTCAATTCTTCTGCAGTAAAATTCCTCATAATGGACACTTCCGATAACGGGACAATAATTGTTTCAACCAGATTTAGTTTGGAACTCGTATACCGTAAGCGGAGTCTCCCTTGGGCGGAACACGAACATGCTATGTGCTTTTTTTTTATACAAGAAGCCCTAGAACACTCATCCAGAAGGCCATAATAAAAATTAAAATTTCTGGCGTCGTGTTAGCGCGGCTCACACTTTTAGCACCGACTAGAGACTTCGCTGGCTGAAAGTGTGTCTGAAATTACTTTTTTGGATAGCACGTTTAAAACATGCCAAACTACCTGATTATATTTTTTAGATGTTCTGTAACGACCGGCTTTACTCAAATCACTTTTACATTTCATAAAGTTATCTATAGGATTTGAAGACATTCCAATTTGAATAATTTAATGGGCAATAAAATGTATATATTCACTTATTTTTGTTTCAATCATGTGACGCTCGATAAAAAATAATTTATTTTCTTTTTTGTCACTGGCCACATTAAAGCGATGCAGATCGGACGAAAGTTATGCCTTGAATTCGATACTTGTGCAACATAAAATGCTCATTTGTCGTTTCAAATTTCAAAGAACCGTTTCAAATAATATTCCGTTTGATATTTAAAACGAAACGGCAAATAAAATCCTTTGAACTTTTTCCAACTAAAGTTATTGAACGGAACCGCTTGAACATTGACAAAGCGAGATATTTTTACTTACATAACCAATATAGGTATATCTCTTTGCCAGAAAACTATTCTTACTTCCAATACGTTCGATTTTTATTTTATTTGAGATTTAACAAAGCGAATATGCACTATTTTAAAACTTAAGTGAAAGGAAGCTAAAATTTGCCTATATCAAAAATACCTTAGCAGTTTTGCGAGAGGTTAACAAAAAAATTGAAGCATTTTTTTTAAATACTATCATTATTAGGTATCTTAAAGCTACATTACCTCTAAAGGAAGCAACAATGAACAAGATCAAGGGTCCCTTTACCGCAAAATTAATTAAACTGAGTGTTTAACTTTCAGGAGAACATCCCTCCGCCACTGAAAGACGAATTAGTGATAGATCAGCTTTCGGCCGTCCAGATAAAACCTTCGCACGACGCTCTCAAAAAGGAATCCGACGACCTCAAGGCACAGATAAGGCAAATTCAAGATGCGCTAGATACTCTTTTAAGGATACAGCAGAGATCGGTCGAGGCCTCACTCTACAATAAGGCCAACGAACTTCAAGAAGACATCTCGATGAAGAGGTTCGACTTGAGGGTGGCCCAGATACATCTTAGGGCTATCAATGCACAAGTAAGTTTATAGTCTAGAAAAAATATTTTGAACTCAAGGAACGTAGAGATCACTTCCAGCTTTTAGAAAGCCTAAAATTTACACTCGAATTAGTCGAGAATTGCACGAGCAAGATTAAAAATACCTTCAAAGTAACACAACTTCTATTTTATATGAAAATGTGTGATAAGGAAATGCAATCTAAAATTCGAATTAACTGGATAGGGTCTTATGCCTCTCTGATTTTGCTAAACTGTTGTGCCGAAAAAAATTTGACCAATACATCATAGATATACAAATATGCAAATAATGCATTTGCGTAATTTGGAGAATTATTCAAATTGTGGTGATTGTTGACAAATTAAATCAAGAATGTTTAAATTAAGTAGAAGACTTTGTATGGATGTGTATATTTTCTAATAAGAGCGAAGCGCTTTTGGTTAATCAGCCATCATCAGTGCCAACTAAAATTGTACAAAAAGAGTGGTGTAGTACTTAAAAAACAAACAGTATTTAGGTATGGGTGTACGTGGGAGATTAAAATCTATCCGCAACAATAGAAGCCATCATACAGGTGCGCTTACAAGAGTTAAGATAATTGCTACTTCAATATAGTAGCGGAATAATGAGGTCGTGCTTATAGGGAAGCTGCTCTATTCAATCTTCGATGTAAGGGTAAGTAGGACCTATTTAATTGTAATTGGGTATTCAAACAACGGTGGTGGTTGGATAATCTTTCCCTATTAATTTCAATGTCCTCAAGGAAATCCAGTCTTAGAAAATTTTTGTTGACAACATTTACCAAGAGTTCGGAACTCTTGTCTCTGTCAAATTGATGTTTTGAGAATTTAATGTGGTGACCAAATGGCAATTTATTAGGATTTTTGAGATGTTCATCTATCCTTGTGTTTAAGTTTCTGCAAGTTATTCCAATGTAAGTGGTTTCACATTCAGAGCAACTTAATTTATATACACCCCTTTTTTGAAGTTTATGTATTTTATCTTTGTTGTTAACTAATGATTTGCTCAAATTGCTCTTGTTCTTATGGGATATTTGAACATTGGGAATATGTTGTTTTAGCGCAAATGTAAAACATTTATTAACAAACTGTTGTCCAATTAAGGAAGACTCATTTATCTGGGGTAGGATAGATGGATTTTTTAAGGATTTTAAATTATTTGTTTGTTTAATTGTATTAACTTCTGTCTTAAAATTAGAATTGGAGAGGGGTATATTGAGTAATCTATGGATATAGGAGTTTAAAGCAGCCATTTTATGCTGGAAAGGGTAGTGGGACTGGTGGGAGAGAGCGTGAATAGAATGGTTGGTACGAGTACGTTTTCAGATGCTAAAGGACAATTCTGAGCCTCTCTATGAATCGCCAAATCCAAAAAATGTAGGCAATTGTTCTCTTCTATTTAACAGTAAATCTAATATTGTCCAATAAGTCAATTGCTGTAGAGGAATTGCCTTTAATTGAAAGGAAACAATCATCCACATATCTAGAGTAGGGTTTCATCTCGTTGTTGATTATTATGTGATTGCGCTCCAAGTTATCCATGAACAAATAAGCAAGGAAGGCTAACAGACAGCTGCCCATAGCGAGACCGTTAAGTTGTTGATAGAAGGTATTATTAAAAATAAAAAAGTCCTGAGGGAGGCATAGGTTTAACAAAGTTAATATGTCAACCACTGTATCCTCACAAATAAGCTTTGGCTTCAAACAATCAGCCACCAACACACCAGTTTCCCTTTTAGGTGTAGAGGTGAACAAGTTAGCTACGTCAAACGACATCATGATATGATTCGCCGAGATTGTAGCATCTTTTAGATTCTTAGTAAATTCCAGAGTATTTTTTATTGCAAATTTGATTCTCAAAACAATTTGACAGAGACAAGAATTCCAAACTCTTGGTAAATGTTGTCAGCAAAAATTTCGAAGAGTGGATTTCCTTGAGGACATTGACAAGGAAAGATAATCCAACCACCGTTGCTTGAATACCCGAGTACAATTAAAAAGGTCCTACTTACCCTTATATCGAAGATTGAATAGAATAGCTTCAGCGCTTCAGCTCATGTTCAGCTTGTTCAATATCGATCGGAACCCTCATTTTAATAATGTGAACATAATTTTGTGTGCTTCTGAACATAATATCTACCCAAATTCATTAATGTACTTTGCATATATGTATTGTTTTCAATTTTGTTTCTGAAGTGAAACTTCTTAGGCGGCGCGCGGTCTGATATTTGGACGACATTCGACAGCGATTTGAAAAATACGTCACGGGCAAATTTCGTTACTCGAGAGAGAAGAAAGATATAACGTAAAGAAAAGGAGAAAGACAGCTATTGATTGACACAAACTAAGGATTATAAGCGTAAAGAGGATTGCCTATCATTGACAAGCGCCGATACTCTTGTGATGTCACTACATATGCTTGTCTTCCTTTTGTTATACTATTATCATTGTGTTTTATGATTATTTTCAATATTTATAAATTTGTGCGCTGTGATTTTTTTCGATTATATCCGTGAACCACCATTATGTAATGTAAGTAAATTAAAATTATCAAAAATGATATTGGAGACGGAGGAAAACTGATTGCCACAAATCAAGGATTATAAACGCAAAGAGGATTGTCTATTATTGATAAGCACCCATACTCTTGTGACGTCACTACATATGCGCGTCTTCCTTTTGTGTGGTCCTTCGTCTGGGTACCTCGACTTAAGGCCGGGACACACCTATCATGCATCTTTCCGATCCGACTCCGATCATTCAATCAGACGAGTGCCTAAAGGCCGGGACACACTTGTCATACACCCCTCTGATCCGACTCCGTTCCGATATTGCCCTAAGAATCGAATAGGTGCGGGATCGGAAAGAGGTGAGAACACATGTCATACTCGTTTCCGTTTTTTTTCCGGCTCTGGCTTGGTACACTCACCGCTAGCAATTCTTGATTCAAATAATATCGCAGAAGGTCCCGCGTGTGCAAAATATTCAAAACTTTCAGCAACTGCGATTTAGTCATGCATGGTGGCACTCTGTTTAGAAGAAGTGGATGAAGAAAATCGGAGATCCTTTATGGAGAACATCGGAAAACGCAGATTTTGGGTACATGCTGCATGGAAAGGTAGATCTGCAAAAGCAGAGTTTTCTACACTTTTCCCTCATAGTGTCTATTTTTCCCATTTTAGCAAGACACCGCAAAAAATTTGCACGTGGTTCCAGCTGAAAAACGAATAGATTACACAATCGGATGCAGTATTGGAGTCGGTTGGGAGTGGAAATGAGCACGTGCCGGAAAGGTGTGAACTACGTTGTTTGAAATGTAGTACCATTCCCTTATCAGACACTCGCCCGATTGTACGATCCAAGTCGAATCGGAAGGATTTATGATAGGTGTTTCCCGGCCTTAAGGTGATAAATCTACAAAGTTCCAAGTTCTATTTTCGAAAAAGGTGGGAACCATGTTTCACAGAAGAGGTATAGCACGCTTCCCTGAGAGCAGCCTCTTGTGACCATTCCTTCAATGTTGACGTCCTGCACACTCATCTGTACAATTATTTTGGAAAGTATATTAGATAATATCCATCCATCCGGTACCAGTTTCTGAGTATTCCTTTCTGTTAGCGAGTGGCTAATTTTTTTCAAAGGTGGTTTTGTCGCTGGCCCCTTCAATGTCGATGAAAACCTCGAGAGTGAACTCTCTATTGGCCAGCATGTTTTCCACTCACCCAGCAATCAAGTCGGTCTCCCAGGGGTGTATGCATGATGATTAGGGTGGAGTGGATTGGTTGACAACGCTTCATTTCTCATGTACCTTTCGCATGACATCTCCATTGTTTTTTAGAGAAAAAGATGAGAGGCCTATGCTTTGGGGGTGGTGTAGTCCATCCTCCCTGATTTGGGTAGGAGCTCTCCAAGCCTTGAGTATGTTTCTCAGCGCAAAGGCCGCCCCGAACATTCCCACCAGGTGCGGCAAGAGAAGCTCCAGGCTTTTACTTGGCATAAACTACCTACTCACAACTGACATAGCGTCACATAAATTAGTATTGCATTTTGAACTGATTACAACAATTTCTACAAATACCTTCTTAAAAACAGCCCTCTCTAAAAAAAAGTTAATGGAAAAAATGGTGTTTGTCAATCAGCTAAGAAAATTATCAAATTTAATTTGCCTTCGCTGAAAGGTCTGTCAACTCTATTTTAATAAAGATCTTTAGAAATGCCTCTGTAGATCATAATACTACAATCTGAAGTAGAGAAAATTTTAAATTTTTAAATAATAATACCTTGAGTCGACAAGTCTACAAAGGCTCTTGTCATCTGCAGTACCTACATATTTGCATTCAGCACAGTTCTGCTTTACAACTGGAAAGCATAGTTATTTCTCCTGAGATTTACATATTCCGCGTTCTTAGATTCAATTGCATAAAGACGTATCTAGATGAAAAATAAGGTTTAGAATTTGCATTGAAGGTACCGGAAATATTTATATTATGATATGCTATATTAAATTTTGTTTGACAAGGAGCCTAATACTTTCGAATAATAAAATTGAAAAATTTTTAAAGAAACTGGCAAACATAGAAAATAACCAGCATAGTATTATTGCCTGAGGGCAATGTTCCCTTATTTTAATTTCCTAAGAGAAGGCAAACATGAAAAGCAGTGATTTGTTTAAGCAAAGCAAATACTACAATAAGTTAGAAAATGCTTTGTCCTGGTGTCTTGCGTGTAAACATCATATTGTGTAGAAGATTTGTTGGAAAGTTTCTATATGTTAATATTCGCTTATCATAATTGTGGTTTATTCTAGCTTTGGTTACATAAGACAATTTAATTAAATTTTCTTTCCATAATGGGCTGATATCGATCGACCATTAAAAGGATCAAAGAGCAATTAAAACACGAGCCACCTTTTTAAGGCTCTCATTCCGTCATTATATTGATGGGTTCACAATTTACTTGAGCACCCTACCCAAATCTTGATCTTGGCATTGTGTTAACAGA